AAAGGCAGTTCAAAGCGACACTGGAACCACCCTGACATGACTGTAACAGCTCAGCATACACATTTCAGCTTACTGCAGCCTCTGAGAAGCAGAAGTACATGCTGGCGCTATGGCTGGTTTTTATTACATAAAAGTGTGTAACAAAACTTTTTTTAGGACACTGTAGGAATACAGGGTTTGATCTTGTTGTACCTAATACAAGTGGCACTCAAATCGACCCAAATCTGATTCCAAATGATATTAAAGGGAAATGCCACCTTATAAATAAATGTATTTATTATAAATAAATTATTTATTAATAAATGAATAAATAAATAAAAACACTGTTCTTCCTAAAAAAAATATACAAGTACTTTTAGTACTTTTATTCATTGGAGCAACTGATCATTAGATGACAGGTGCAATGCTCTGGCTCTTGCAGACTCTTCCTCGCATCCATATTCGTTACTCGATATGGACATTCAGCAACCTGGATGGGAGGAAGAAGGAATGGACTACAAGTGCAATGACATCACCACACTTGTATTCCATTGAGACCTAAAAGTCCATCAGCTGCGGTGGCTGATGGGACTTCCAGTTTCTGCATTTACAGATCATATCAAAGGGTCTGAGAATGGATGATGTTTTTGTGTGGGCAGAACCACCCAGCAAGCTGCTGGGAGAAGAACCCTGCAATTCAGATAAGTGGGGGGTTGGGAGGGGATTGCAACCTGACCATATTTCTTGGTACACCTTAAATATGGATGTAACATGAAACATGGTCATAAAGGTAAACTTAGCCTTTAAAAAGTGACACTAAACTCAGGAGTTAGATCTTAAAAATGCATTTAAGTACCTTAAAAGGAGAACTATGAGGCGAGTGCTTTTCACTCACCTCATAGTTCTAGCCGACCTGTGACAATGAGACTGTCACAGGTCGGCTCAGTAGATCGGGAGGTGAGCGAACACATACCGGCGTTCGCTCACCTCTCGATCCTGTCACAGCCCTCTGTCGTGACAGGGGAGGGACTGGATTCCCCCCTCCCCGCTCCGATCTGCCAACGCTGACTGGCGGAACGGACGCGGGAGGGGGCGGGTACAGCTGGCTCTGCCTCTAGATAGGCACTACGTCACTTACGCAGCTGGGCGGATCCAGACATAATTGTCGGGATCCGCTTCAGCTGCTGCGTCTCAAAATACCGCGAGCTGTAGCTCTCGGTATACTGAGCTTAGGGTGACAGGAGGACGCTAGTTTGTGTTACCCTAAGGAGAACTATGGGGAAAAGCCTTAACACCATAGTTCTCCTTTAACTATTAACAAAAATCTATGTTATTTGTGTATCACTCGGCTATAGATCCTCAAATCATCTCTGAAGTGGTGCTGACACTGTCCTTCCTTCTGGAGGGGTGGCTACTTTTGTTTCCCATGGTCCCTGTGTGTGTTGTAAAGTAGTCACCGCTCCAAGCTCCCTCCTGTGATGGACTACAATCTCATGTTTAGTTGACTCATTTGTATAGAGATTGCAGTCCATCACTGGAGTGAGCTTGGAGCGGTGACTACTTTACAACACACACGCAGGGACCATGGGGAACAAAATTAGCCACCGTCCAGAAGGAAGGACAGTGTCAGCGCCAATTAAGAGATGATTTGAGCATCTACAGCCTGGTGAGACGCTGCAAACAGCCCTGCTGAGAATGCACAGCCCTAGGGAGACCACACGCAGCCCTGGTAAGACCCTGCACAGCCCTGGTGAGACTCCGCACAGCCCTGGTGAGAACCCCTGAGCAACACAGATTATGTAGCTTCATATTATTCTGCATTGCTGTATAATGTTTTGCTGGGATTTGTAGTCCCTTTGCAGCTTGGAGTCAGTGGCAGAACTACCAGGGTTGCAGTGGTTGCAGCTGCAACTGGGCCCTGGCACTCCACCATTGTCCTAAAATCATTAGTATGGATTGTTTTAGAAAAAAATGTCACATGACACTAAAAAAAGGTACGATAATTGGTATCGGCAAGTACTTGAGGAAAAGTATCGGAACTCGTACTCAGTATTGAAAAAATGGTATCAGTGCATCCCTAATTATTACTTATCTTTGCCCTGAATCACTGCAAAGACTACCCAACACCACATTAGTTGTGCTTTCACTTTAATTCAATGGAAATGCAAAGGACAGTTATGTTTTTTCTTCGTTTACTTATTTTTAGCAATCACTTGGAAATCATCTCCTAACAGATTACAGTAAAGTGACATCTAGTTGATGAGAGATAGATTTGGCATGTGATCATTGCTTTGCACTGCCGTAATGAATAAGCCGGCAATTGTTAACCCCAGCAAGCATATTAGTCATATATCATCCTGCCTGTGACACTGTCAGTAACGGCGCCATTCAGGCAGGAAATTCAGTTGCTTTCATTGGTGACTTGCCGTTTCCTTGCCCCAGTTTTACAGACCTTATAGACCTCATTAGGGTTTCTCAGACAGTTTGTCATGTGCAGCAGCAGAAGTTCGTTATCCTATCATATAATATATTACCTACAGTAGCTCTCTAGTGTCAATGAAGTCATGCTTTCTTGGCAAGCTTCTTATCATTATTGCATCTAGCTCATTATGAAAGTATTTCACATCCTGTTCTTTCTGAGATTAGTAAATGTGTAAAAAAAAAAAAAAAAGGAGCAGATTTCTGCACAACGCAGCTTGTACCTACCATGGGTACCACTATGAAGCACATCTACAGAGAAGCAGAGCTAAATGTACAGTAGGAGCCACCGCTCGTTTAATACGAGTGATCTAATCAGATCACTCGTGTTAAAACCGAGCAGCGTCGGCGATCGAGATCACCATAGAGCAGACGAAGAATGGACGTTCTTTGTCTACTCTGTGTGATCACTGAGACCGTGGCGCTGTAATCACAGAGCCACCTGTCTCAGCGGTCACTACCTGCAGCTTCTGTCACAGAAGCTGTGACAGAAGCTCTGGTCTGTTCAGTGCTCCATAAGGCGCACTGGACCTTCCTGTGTTCTATGGTCCAGTGCGCCTTATGGGGCGCAAAATACGATATATATATAATATACACACACACACACACACACACACACACTATCATTGGATTCAGGTGTTCCAATCACCTCCATGGGCACAGGTGTATAAAATCAAGCACCTAGGCATGCAGAGCGGGGTCAGCGCAAGCTGAAACGCATAGTGAGCAGAAGTCGCCAACTGTCTGAAGAGTCAATAGCTACAGACCTCCAAACTTCGTAAAGAATATTTACAGTGTGTGTGTGTGTGTGTGTGTGTGTGTGTTGGTGTATATATATATATATATATATAGATATATAGATATATATATATATATATACACACATACTGTATATATTATACACATTATTATTTTAGGGCTTATTCACACCAGCAACCATGCTCAACCACATGCTGACGCGCGTGTGCCCGGACAGTGCCAAAGCACTCCATGGACTCAATGGACGCAACATTTCACTAAGTTCTATGGACTCACCACGGGCTGATGCAGTTGTACCGTGTCTCACTGCGGTGCACTTAAACAAAGTGCTGCATGCCTTACATTTTTTAAGTGCACACCACCGGAATGCAAAATTGCCAATTGTCACCGGCCATGACAAAACAAAAGGCCGAATACAGCCCTTAAAACTGGAAATTGAATAGGCTGTGTGTGTGTGTGTGTGTGTGTGTGTGTGTGTGTGTGTGTGTGTGCCTGGGCATCAAGCTTTAAAATAGCCAATTGTTTCCCCAAGGAAAGCATGCACTGAAGTGATTTACTGGAATAAAAGCACACTAAAGGCAGGAGAACAGGGCATGCTGCATTTATAAAAACACAACAAAAAATGCAGTATAGCAAGTACAACAATAAACAGAAGTGAACACTGCTCAATACAACTTAAAAATTCAAGCATTGCATCCAACATACCTTAAAAACATGACAGTGTCTCATCAAAATAAAAGCAATAGAAAGGAACTGTACTGCCATGAAGGTCAGCAGAAGAAACCAAGAGATTGACACTTCCAAAAGTGTTGGTTTCCCAGCAAACTTTGAGGGAAGACTCCTCAGCAACGGAGCAGTGTTTCGCATCGTGGGCAGCATAAGAGGTAAGAATTGAAACTGAACAGTAAGGTCATTAGGAGAGGCAAGGATAGTCTAGACTGGCCAAGGTTAATTTAGGATAGAATAAAAAGAGAGTCAGCGGGTCAGGAAGAGCGAGTCAGGTAGAGAGGTAAACCACCTAGATAAGAACATAAGGTCAAAATAGGGAGCAAGGACATATTAACAACTACCCATTACCCTAACATCAATGCTGACCATAGAGCAGTAAATCAGAGTTGTAGCAAAGTCCAAGGCAGGTGGAGTTCCCTCAGTCAGGCAACAAGAGAAACACAGGAGGCAAACTTGCAGATGGAATGCACTCTAGAACCAAACTGTCCTCTACAATCTACAGCCAGACTCTATAGTCAGACACCAATGAAAAAGCTTCATATCCAAAAATTCTAAAATGTAGTGTGCTGAGGACACAACTAAGGGATAGCAGGGCTACAGCAGGCTGGCGTGTAGGCAAAAAAATGAGACAGTATAGAGGGTGACAAGACTGAAAACAAGCACGCAGCAACTGGCCCATTCTGCAACTGATTAGATGATGTGGGCCAAGCCACAGGTGAGTGACCACCAAACAACTGACCAGACATTCACCAAGTGAGTTCTCCACAGAAACAACAGAATAAACGTATTTATTCAGATACTACAATAGCAAACATAACAATAGAAACTTATTTGATCAGGTAACGCTAAGTGCAAGTATGTCGAAGGTACAGCAGCCTTGGGCAACCAATCACATTTCAGATTATTGCTATCTGATCAGTGAAATATTATTTCTGATTGGTCATATTACTGCACTTTGCGCAAACGTATAAAGCAAGCCACAAGGTTGAATTAATTCTCGTGGGACCACACCTTGCCATACATCATATATAACAATATAAAAAGGGTTTCTTTACCTTTACGTGCAAAGTCAGATTTCAAGGAAAAATCCCATTTTCCTGGCAGTTTCAGAGACATGGCGGTGACGCCAGGTGTTTGATAATTCAGTCCTCAGGCCCAAAGCAAATTCACCATGTTAAGATAACAGCTGCATGTTAATTCACCAGCAGTCTTCCTCTTTCCGCTGCTTAGCTCAGCAGGTGAAGCCCAGTACGATTCAATGACTTGACCTTACACATTGCCTCAAGAAGGTTTCAGGTTTTTGGGTGCTTCCTGCAACACAGCTGAAGTATCCGACCTCACACCAAATTAATCTCTGTAACTCGTTTATCTAAAAATGCTCAGAAAAAAGAAACACTCGACTCTCCAGTCAGTCAGCTACATTGTACGCATTTGAGGAAGTTGTGGGCATTTCATAAACACATTTAAAAAAAAAAAAAAAGAAATGCATTCCGAGGAGCTGAGGCTGCGTAATTCTGCCTGACGGCTTACAGTGAGAGTAGGGGACACAGATCCTGTACAGGATATGTAATGATATACATTATAAAGCTATACTGTGCACATTCACTAAACATAAAATGAAGTGTATTCATAGCGGAGTCTGATTAATCATACGTAAAAGCAGAAGTGTAGGCAAATATAAAAGAACCCCATATAACTCAGTCATGTGTTCATATAAAAAAAATGTTTAATTGTATTTTTATAAAGAGGAACCATAAAGCCCTTCAATGCATCAGTGTGAAGCTTAACAAAGCCTGCTAAGAAAGAAAGTATCTATATGTCTCATTGTCATCACAAATCCCAGAACTAAGCCACTTATTCCTGATTTCAGGATAGAGTCAACCTTTCTTGTATGCCTCTGAGTCAGCTGTACATTGAAAGTAATATTAAAGTCGAAAGGGTTTTAAGCTATTAAAGATGCTGATGAAATCACTTACAATGGATGCTGCCCCTTGATGTTTAAAAGTTTTGAATTTCCTGCAGAATCAGCTGATCCCCTGAGCACTGGCCCCGATATCCTGTTTTAGGGTGGCTCCATCGGACCCCGCTAGGGAAAGGAGCCACGCTTGTGTGTGCTATTAAGCTGTGTGTGTCTCCGCAAACATACTCCTGTCCTTCTGAGCCCCATGAAGGGGATCCTGTGAGGCCCCGAAAGCGCTCCTGTCATTCTGAGCCCGATGAAGGGGACCCTGTGAGGCCCCCGAAAGCGCTTACATTGTATGACAGGTTTGTGTCATTAAATGGATCTTTTTCCATTGAAGTGCTGGTGACATTTCTGAACTTTCTGCAAACACACAGGCCCAGTAAGGCAACCCACTCACCTTCTTCCTCCCTCCTCCCTTCTACAAGCTTGTAGATGGACAGCTCCTGGGCACTGTGCTCTATCTTGTGGTCTTGAACTGGACAGGAAGTTCAGAGAAGCGAAGCTGAGAGAGTTGGAGCCGTTTTGAAACACAATGACTAAGTGCATGGGCAAAAAAGAAATAATCTGCTGGGCAATGTACACTGCCTGGCCAAAAAAGTCACACACACTAATTTGTTGGACCACCTTAAGCTTTGATTATGGCACACATTCAAGGAGTCATTGTTTCGATAAGCTTATGCAATAACACAAAATGTATTTCTGTCCAAAGTTACATTATTTTTTTACAAAGATCTTGTAGTGATAATGGGATGATGTTGGACCTCTGCGTAAAGTCTTCTCCAGTATATCCCAAAGTTTCTTAAAGGGGTTAAGGTCTGGTTGTGTGTTGTAAAGTAGTCGCTGCTCCAAGCTCACTCCTGTGATGGACTACAATCCCATGTTTAGTTTAATCATTTGGATTAAGAGTGCAGTCCATCCCGGGAGTGAGCTTGGGGTAGTGACTACTTTACAACACACACAGGGACCATGGGGAACAAAAGTAGCCACCCTCCAGAAGGAAGGACAGTGTCAGCACCAATTCAGAGATGATTTGAGGATCTACAGCCGAGTGATACACAAATAAGATAAATTTTTTAAGATGTAACTCCTGAGTTTAGTGTCACTTTAAATTAGCCCAGAAGACAGGGACTAGCTGCTAAATGGCTCTAATTTTAATCTTGGAACTCTAAACGTCTTGGTGTCCATCTTGCTGAATCCCTATTACAGCCAATATCATCATCTGCTTATAGTGAAAGTGAGAATGCACACCAATGAGTTCTCTGGTTCCAACCCCCTCCTTTCTTTGCCCCCTGAAGCCTCAGTAGCACATACTGGAGCATGGGAGGTAATGTACACAGCACACAATCATGTTGTAGGAAATTGCATTTCCGCCCTAAAGCCCTATAGGAAGCATTTGGCTGCACTGAATTTTTATTATAAAAGTAAATTACATTAAATCGTTTAGGTCCACCAAAATACATTTACAGTAATGATAAGGTACGGATACCTCATGATGGATACAAGTACTGGAATTTGGAATTTGAACTTTACATTATTTTTTTGTGCATGTGGAGGACCCAAATCCTGGGCCTGAGAGGTAAGCACGACTTCAACCTCTCTCTAAGTTTGCCCACCTCTGGCGCTAACCCATGGCCCTCTAATTCATCTGGACATTGCCAGAGCTTCCTTGGGCTTGGGAAGTTCCAAATACATTCTCAAGGTCACAGACATCTTGGCAACATTTCAGGAAACAGCAGGTCTCTCCTCATCAACCCTTCAACACATTGTGTGAGTCACCTCTTTGGGGGCCAAGGCAGTGTCATTGTTTTGCTGGGAAATAAATCAACGTATGGAGGTGGAGAGGGAAATAGAAGGGTGGGGATAGGTGGGGTTCTGTAGTTCAGAAGACTGAGGCAGTTTGTGAGACAAGAAAATTACATTAAGGAGCTCACTGGGTTTCTGGTAGGATCAGTGGGTACTTTCCAGTACTTGCAGTGTTTTAAAGTGATAAATGTAATGACCAAATGTAAAGACATATGTTCATATAGTAAGATGATTCATGAATGGGTTCCCTAATTGTAATAATCAGCTCTGAATTATAACTGAATTTTTTATACTATGCATGTCTTCTACATTTAAAGCTTTATGTGGCTTGGAATTGTAGTCTTGCTTATATGGGACCCCTATCATCCCTGTTTATGCCTATGTGGACCTTTTACGACTCTCACTGTATTAGGCCCCTTTTACATGGATCAGGGTCGCCTTTCAGTTTTTCAGGCAGATCTGATTAGAAGCCCAATGTTACTCAATGGCCAGGGGAATCTAAATGGACAGCGTCCATTTACATCTGATTACCCCCAACTCCATCTAGGTTCATAAAAAAAAAAAAAAAAAAAACCAACAGAATTCCATTTTGGCAGACCGGAATGTGATGGATAGGAGGTAATTGGATGTAAACAGGCACATGCCCATTTACATCCAACTCCCCACTGTCCATGTGAAAGGGGTCGGCGGGAAGAGAGACCAGTAAACATTAATTCACTGATCTCCTCCCCGATGAATGAAGCTGGAAGAGGTGCTGATTGCATCACTTCTGGTCCCTTAGCTGTCATTCCCCGGCTGCAGAAGCCAGGGCTGATCAAGCACAACCTGTACTTCATCAGCTTCTTTCAAGTGCAAAGTTGACATTAGGGGCCACCATAAAGAGAACCCTTGGGAAATTGAACATCAGCAGATTCACACCTCACTAGTTATCATAGTTTGCACATCACCACAGCTCTTTCCATTATTTTATTTAATACCATTGCATTGGCTCTTAGTAATGATATTACTGGGGGAAAATAGGAGAAAAAAAGTGAAAAATCAAGTCATTAAAGAATTGTATTTAGGACACACATGGCCTTCATACATTGTATATTAGGAACATTGATGCATAACAACATGATAGTGGTTGGCTGGCAATGACATTTCTGCTTTTTGTGAGCTGTAAAACAGGTCCAAAACCTGCGGGTTGCTTCACACATTATGTGCTAAAAAAAAATCCTGGAAACGTTCTAATTAAATGTAACTGTACGGCCGTCATATTATTCTTCACTCCCCACTGGCACTCAACCAAAAGATATTTTTACAAGCCGTAATTAACAGGATGAATCACTTACTGTATCTAATTCTGGAAGCACAGCACAAGATTCAGGTATAGTTAGGAGATATTCTATAGTAAGAATGTTAGATAAGGTACATGGAGAGTTATAAGGGTATTGTGATTAAAATAAGGGAAAGTGAAGCAACCATGGGTAAGTGACATTTTGCTAATGTAGCGATAGTAGAAGGACTATTATAGGACTCGTATCACTGGAGGGTATTTGACTTTTTCATTTGATATAGTGGATCTGCTTCAACATGTCTGCTTTGATTTCTACCTCTAATTTCTTCATTTGTTCATTTGTGGCATAGTTGCATTTTGAGGCTCCTGTAGGGGACAGTTCCCACTAGAAGTGTTAGATTAAGCACCCCAAGACTAACCCCCATAAGTTCTAGTCTTGGCTAACCTTCTTACAATAGATGCTCTGGTATCAGGCTGCATTCTTGCACAGCTTTAGCATTGTACATCAGGAAGTAGCTGGGGACCGTGAGACATAGGAGCAAATGTATGAATGGCCTTTCCTATCAAGAAGTACCTACTATATATATGCCCCTTATGGCCTGATGTGGCAGGAAAGCTACTGCGTCAGTTTGGTAGAAGTCAGGATGGGGGGGCTTAGTAGGAACGGCCTCACAGTTTTGGCATATTGTAATAGTGAAAACACAAACAAGGCACACCACCATTGTGATGACATTTTATAAAAAAGGACTCCTTTGATAATTAACTGATAATTATTTAACTGATAATTATTGTCATTGGTAATGACTTTGAAAACTCCCACTGCTTCACTAGCTCAGGAATGGATTATAAACAGTTGTGTCTAACCCCTGTAAAAGCTGGCCTAAGAGGAGAGCCATAACCACCACTCAATGGCTAACCATTTGATGCCTTGCTCAAGATGCCACCATCATCTAACATGTTTTGGTGCTCCATTCCTTCACCAAACCATTGGGACACAGTCAGTATCCAGAAAATCCCCATTGTATATAATTTTATGAAACTTTCTCCTGGTGTCTCTGAAGACACTATGATCATCATAACTTCTAAAGCTCTAATAGTTCTACCTACCCAGACTAGCCTACAGGTACTATCATTTTCAAACAATATATTACCTTTGCAGTGGAAAAGGCTACAACATGGTTACAGTATAGTCACTAG